ATTGACATTAGAATCCTTTGGTGGATGTTCTATGCAATCCCAGGGTCATTCTCTGAGTTAGAAGCAGAAGAACATTTACTTCCACTGTCGGATGAGTCCTCTGAACTATTCATGAAGTTCTTAGACGGCAGGGTAGTATTGACCGAGATCCGTGTTTACCACTGTCTTCAGCTGAGCTTTGATGCACAAGGCTTCTGATAATTTTCACAAATGTTCATCGTAATTACAGGAACAGTCTTCAGACTGAGAGAAACACTTTTTCTTGGTGAATTTACTTGTGTCACCATCTTTCAGAGCATTTTCTGTTCCGAAAACAAATTGCTTTCTTCCTACTATCTGGAGCAGAGCTGTTTCTTTGAGGATTTGTTCTGGAAGTTCAAGAGCATGGCAGCAGCATGGGTCACCTCTGGTGAGGGTCCTCTTGACTGCTGGATGACAGACGACATCATGGTGGGAAAATATACAAGAGAAAAGATCATATGGCAAGACAGAAAGCCCAAGAGCTTGAGTCATTAGACTTTGGTGTGTGTGTTCATGTATGTAAGCATGTGTGTATGTAAGTGCATATGCGTGTGTATATATGGAGGCCGGGGGTCAATGACATGTCTTCCTCAATTGCTCTCCACCTTGCTTTTTGAGGCAGGGTCTCTCATGAACTTGGAGGTTGCCAATTTGACTGGATTGGCTGGCCAATGAGCCCTCCTGTCTGACTTCACAACCCTAATTAGAGGCACACGCTGCTGCATCTGGCTTTTTTATGTGGTGCTGCAATCAGACTCAGGTCCTCATGTTTGCATGGCAAACACTTCACCATCTGAGTTATCTCCCCAGGACCCCACTAGATTTTATAGATTTTTTTTTAAGAGGCCAAGCCATGTGGGTGCAGATAATTATATTTTTCTGAGCTGAAGAAAAAAAAAGTCAAGAGCCCTAATCATGCTAGTCAGGTGCTCTACCACTTATCTGTCCCCTCACCTCCTTAATCTCCCACTCCATTCTAGTTCACTTCCTAATTAGAATATTTGAGAGTTGTTGTGGCAAACAAGCATAAAAATCAGCATATACAGTCCAAATTTAACTATGAAAAACACATCAAAAGACCTGTATGCAATGTTTATTCTACAAATTCAGATGGGACTACGTTGATTCATTAAGATTTTTAAAAACTGTTTTATTTATTATTTTTATTTTATGTGTATGAGTGTATTGCCTGCATGTATGTGAGTGTACCAGTGTCATGCAATGCTGCAGAGGTCAGAAGAGGGCTTTGGATTCCCCTGGAACTGGAGTTAAGGACAGTTCATAGCTGCCATGTGGGTGCTGGGAATCAAACCCCAGTCCTCTGCAAGAGCAGCCAGTATTCTTAACCACTGACCCATCTCTCCAGCCCCCTGATTCATTAAGACTTTTATCTAGCCAGCAAGATTTAGAGCTTTGGGGAAAAAAAATCAACGAAATTTCATGAATTCTCATGATCAGCATTATGTAAAAATAACACATAGGTATAAAAATAGAAGAAAGTAGAAGAAAGAGTACATGAAGTTATCAGGAAAAAGTGATGGGGAGATATGGGAGGAGTTGGAGGGGCGGGAGTGGGCATGGATTTGATCAAAACACTTTGTATGCATGTATGAAATTCTCAATAAATTATTTAAATAAAAATATACAAGAAAGTACACAACAGTGGTAGCTGTTTTCTTCCTTATAACATGACTATGAATAATATATATTTCCTTCTTTCTAGTTTTTGTATATACTCTAAATTTTCCATAATAAGCATATAAATGTTATGTTTTGCAAAAGCTTTTCCTTCATAAAGGAATAAGCCCCAAGCACCACAGTTGGAGACCTTCCACCAGCAGGTTCAAGCTGATCTTCACACAATTTTATTTTCAGATTTCATTATTGCCCATAGATTTCAATGAAAAGAAACTGCTTCTCATTTTTCAGAAAGGCCCTAGTTTTTTCTTCTCCAGTGTTGGGAATCAGACCCGAATCCTCATGTGTGCTAAGGAAGCACTCTGCCACTGGCTGCATCCCTTACCCTAGGTGAGGAGCTTTCTGAACTCTGCTTAATTGTTTATTGAGTTCTGGGATTATTTCTCATGTTCAAATCAGTTTAAACTCTCTTCCTGTAATGTTTTTGCTGGTATATCTTTTTTTTTTCTAAACATTTTTGCTTAATACCTGCGCAATGTTTGCCTTATTTCTTACAGTCGAGGTCATCTTGTCTGGAGCCGTCTTTCTGTCATTCTTTCATTTCTTCCTTTTTTCTCTCTCTCCAATGTTTCAACAACACTCATTTTCATTTGCTACTTCCCCTTCTAAATTTATTTAACACTTTAATCAGCCAATGTGAACTCTTAGTCCGAGTGTTTCACAGCATTTCAGATTCAGACAGTTGATAAATTAATGTATATCTGGGTGATGTTTATCACTGGCTGTAGCAAAGATCATGCACTGTCCTGTCTGGTTAGTCACAGAGGAGTGTGACAACAGGAAGACAGTTACTTTAAGGCCAGTGAGATTTCTCAGTGGTTAAAGATGCTTGCTACCAAGTCTAATAATTTGAGTTTACTCCCTGGGATCCACAGGGTAGAGGAGAGAACTGGCTCCCCAAAGTTGTCCTCTGACCTCCGCATGTGTATCCAAGGGACCATAAAGAAACATACACACTCACACATACACATACACACACTTACAGTCAATTAATTAACTAACTTTTGGGAGAATTACAAAACAGTTTTTGGAGTATTTGTAGAATCTGAGAATTCAGAATTATCTGCATGGTTTGTAAATTTTTTTACTTTTAATTTACTTGTTAGATTTTTTCAGTGTGCCCTTCATTCATTAATAGTAACATATTAATTAGTTATCTAAGCAATATTTTAAGTGTATACTAGATGCCATGTGCTGTGCTAAATACTAGGAAACAGAATCAACCAAGATGAGAAACTTAGTGCAAATTATGGGCAACAGACAAACCACCGGGCTACAATCAGTGTGAAAAAAAGCAAGAGGCAGGTGCAGGTGACACAGAAAAGCACATAACTAAAGCCTGACACTCAGGAATGGTGTCTCAGGGAACTGTCAAGCTGTTATAAACATGACATCGTTCTATCACAAATCTGCAGATTTGTATTTATTTCAGGGACAACATGGGTGTTCTGCCAATCACATCCAAATGACTGGAAATCACAATATCTTTCGCTGTCCCTCTAAACTTTAAACACACTAAAACATATTTTAGTGATAATTCCAGAGGAAAAAATATGAACAAAAACTTTAAAAGGAATCGTAGTTGCTGTTATATCCAGGACCCCTTGTCCTCACATCAGCATCTGTCGCAGCCTGGGCCATCACACCGGACCCCTTGTCCTCACATCAGCATCTGCCACAGGCTCAGCCAGCGTCCCAGACCCCTTGTCCTCATATCAGCATCTGGTACAGGCTCAGCCAGCATCCCGGACCCCTTGTCCTCACACCAACGTGGATAAATATTTTCCTCCTTTTTCAGTCAAGACAAAATATGCATTGACTCTAGTTTTGAACTGTCCTTAGACAGAACCCATAGTGGAAATGGAGTCTTAAATGTGACATGTGGCCTCCTGCCAAATGACCATTGGGCATCTGCTTTGCATCTCTGTCACTGGAGATCTAATCATCAAAGAGCAATCATATCATATTTTTATACTACTTACCGATGCTTATCACATACAAAAATAAGACAACAAAAAAATGTGAACAAGAGGCAAAACAGGGAGTGCAAAGCCTACACTTACTAAGCAACACCTGTAAGTGCTTTAGTTTGTCAGCTAATCTAATTCTCACTCCCAGCACACTGTGCCCTTTAGCAAACGAATAACAGACAAGCAAAGAAAAGTGAAGCATTATGTGGTGATCATGGGAGAGCTGGGGAGGTAGGCAGGAACAGGTGGTGGGGGTTAAAGAAGTTTAATGAAACCTGTCCTTTGAGAATGTTTAAGGACCTCACGGCAATCATGTATTACACACCAATAATGTGAGCAAAACTCAACAAAGAAAAGGAGAGAGAGATGAAGCAAGGGAAGAGGAAAGGAGAGGGAAAGAAAAGAACAAAAAAGAGAAGACTTTTTCCCAACTTCAAATCCTCTACTGCATGACACAGGTGCGTTTACCTACATGCAGGCAATACATGCATACACATAAAATAAAAATAATAAGCAAAAAATATAGAAAAAATCCTCTACTGATTTGAATTTAAGAACAAGAGAAAGATTGAAAAGAAGAAAAAAGTACGAGATAAAATCAGGACATTTTCAGTCCAGTAATTCCTTTCAATTCTACAGGTCTTTATGGAACAGCCATTGCAGACCTGTCACACTTTAATACAGAATTAAAACCAACCCTAAAGATAATGTCTTTCTAACAGAGGCTCTTTGTCCTTCCCATGAGCTTTTCCTTCTTAAACATCAGCAAATTCAAACAGAAATCAACTGTAGTTCTTTCAAATGGCTCAATTTTTTTTACTTCTGTATATCATACCCTATACTTGTAGCGTGTACTAATAGACTGTGCAGAGTATAACTATATAGGTGCAACTTTTCCTTACTTACATATTATTATTTTCCATTTTAGCATGTGTTCTTCCTAAAATGAAATGCTTTTAGAGATTCTGCATAACTTTGACTTTTTTACCAAGTCAGTCCACTTTTCTCTAACTTACAAACATTAAAATATCTACTGAACTATAGTCAGTTTTTCCAGAGGTAAAAACAAAACAAAAAAAAAATATGCCCCAGTTTTCTCTCCTGCTAGGACAGGAAGCATTTCCTGGTGATTAATCACCGTTTAGCCTTGCAAAACTGAGAAGGTTCAGAGAACTTAGTAGGTTGTATCATCTGACTTTGAATTTTGGATTTTTGGAGTCTGTCCTGGTCCCTTGGGATGAAAGCAGTGATGAGTCACTTTGTGGGTGATCTACACAAACATTATCGCTCTATAAAAGTTGGGCTTCAGGGGATGGATCTAGAGGGAGCTAGGCAGAGAGCAGCACAGAGCTGAGGAAAGCCAGAGGAAATGCGGAGTCTTCCAGTCCTGCTGTGGCTGTGTGTGGCAGCCTGCTCTTCCTATCCACTGGATGAAGTTGCAGGGGATAAGGACACCATCATGGAGCTTCTTCAGGTAATGTGTGGAAACAGCCTCAGGGCTCATTAGCAGGGCACAGTGAGGAGCCACCTCTGCCCTCAGTGGACTAGTTTCACACTGAGTGGTAATGGTTCAGGAATGGAGACTTAGAAGCTATTGGGTCTCAGTATCACACTATTTGAGCGCTTCCTTTTGTGTAGAGGAAACAAAGCCATACACATTGGGTAATGTTTGTTCAAAGTCTTCGCAGCAGTTAAGGAGTTTGTGACCAGAGACACGTGAGGGATAAAGGAAGGGTGTGTGAATTGTGCCCTTTCAGTGTTTGAATCCAATGTGATTTTAGTTAAATATCTGTAGTGCTAATATCATGTTTACATGAAGGGATTGTTCCTCGCAAGCCAAGTTCTTGTGAGAAGTGGAAAACTGAGGAAATTAAATAATTTACCTGAAATAGACAAATAGGTCCACAAATGTTTCTTTTGCATTTTTTTTCCTACCTAAATATCTCTGAATGTTTTTACTTCATTTTCATTGTTTTGATGGAGCACATCTGTGATCTCAGCACTCTGAAGGCAGAGGCAGGAGGATCAGAAGATTGTGCTCCTCCTGGGCTATACAGTGAGATACTGAAAATTAATGAATTAATTAGGTGAATGACTGCAAAAGCCACAACTAGCAATAGCTAAAATTCATAACCATGACCTAAAAGCTGTATTTATTCCATTAGAAATATCTAGAAAACTACTATGGCCTTGAAAAAGATGTGCAACAGTTTAAGATAATGGACAGTAGTCCTGTTATTAAAAAAATCCAAGAAATGCAGAAGTTCCTGGGGTTGGAGATGACGGGGAAGCTGGACTCCAGCACCATGGAGGTGATGCACAAGCCCAGGTGTGGCGTTCCGGATGTTGGTGGCTTCTCTACCTTTCCCGGCACGCCAAAGTGGAGGAAAAACCAGGTTACTTACAGGTAATGGATCCAAAGTTTTCACATAATACTGAAACTTTATAAGCTGCATCATAGCAACAAGCATTGCCTTCTTTTTCTTTTTTTCTCACCCAGGATTGTGAACTACACACAAGATTTATCGAGAAAGGCTGTAGATTCCGCCATTGAGAAAGCTCTGAAAGTCTGGGAGGAGGTGACTCCGCTCACATTCTCCAGGATTTATGAAGGAGAGGCTGACATCATGGTCTCCTTTGCAGTTAGAGGTAAAAACCAAAACCCCCAAACCGACAACAGAATACAACCAAAGTAAAACAAAACAAAAAACTACCTGAAATGTACATGCACCTTGTAGTATTTTATTGGAAAAGGTTCAAAAAGAGATGCTAATTACCAATTGTTCCAATATCTTTTTTAAATAATAATTTTATTGATTCTTTGAGAATTTCATTCATTGTATTTTAATTATATTCAGATTCCCTCCCCCACCCCCTCTCAGATCCCCCCTCACCTGCCTACCCTTCACTTCATGTTCTCTATTACTTTTTTAAGGCCTATCTAGTTTGATCTGTGTCCCCCAAATTCTCTTGGGTGTGGATCCATCCCTGAGCCTGGTTGATCTACCCAATATCACACCTTTAAGGAGAACTGACTCTCCCTCTCCCAACAGGTATTAACTGCCAATAGTTCATTAGCTATTTTTTTTTTCTATCAGAACATGGAGACTTCGTCCCCTTTGATGGGCCTGGGGGAGTCTTGGCTCATGCCTATGCACCTGGGCCTGGGACTAATGGAGATGCTCACTTTGATGATGACGAACAGTGGACAGAGGATACAACAGGTGAGTGTTGCATCCCACAGCATGAAAACTCCCTATAACCAATGATGCTGAATTTTCCATGGATCAGGGATCAGCAGAATATATTTTTGTTTAAATCATTACTGAATGCATTTTCAGATGTTTAAAACTTTAATACTGTCCTTAACAATTGTGGATCTTGTGTGAACTATGGGTCACCATTATTAAAAATTGTCTCATTATATCAGACTTCAGATAAAGACTAAAATATTGTACTGACTGCATCCTAACATGTGCTCCGGATATGGCTCATGTAATTCCCCCACTTAATTTACTTCTTAAACCAGAAATCATAATTAAATTCCAGAAACGGGGGAAGGGGATTTTACTCTAAGTTAACATTTTTCTAACTTTGAAGTTAAGAAGATTGTGACTTCTGCAAGAAAACGACTAACTCCCAAATACAATGTCCAAACTGTCTAGATAAAAGAGTGTTTCATTGTTCATAACTTTGGAAATTAACTTACAAAGTTTTCAAAAGCATTGACTGAAATAAAATCTTATTACTTCTGAGATTTAACTGAGATATATAATAAAAATATAAACAGAATAGTTGTGAAAAATACAAATCTAACTTTTGCACTGGATAAAATTCATGGTTTGATGGAATTAACATCTTCCTTCTGGGGCACAAATGAGAACATGCCAGGCCCACGAGATCCACAGGTTGTGCTCGCAAGGACTCACATCAATCATAATCACCTACACCTTCAAATGTCAGCACTGTGGGGTTTATTTCACATAATTATGACAAAAACGTGTGAATAGACCAGTGTCTGTGTGTATAAAATCTTTTATGACAAATGCTTGAACAGGTCATGTCTTAAACCAATTTTACAGAGTCTATGATATCCATCATTAGTCATCGTTTTGGATAATGAGACTGAAAAATGATGCAGGCAAGATTCCAAATAGAAAGTAATAGGGTTGTGATCGTTTAGGATTTCAGAATTGAGATGAACACCCAGTGATTTATCTGAGACTGCAGTTGTCAAAGCCAACCACACATTTCAGCAGGTTTAGCTCTTTATGAACAAAGAGGTTTGGTTCTGAAGTGAACAATGGGTAACAATGCTCACTCCATTCCTGAGCACAGTGCAGAGCAGCTGCTTCTCCTGGAGTGACGAAACTCTTGAGGCCAGAGAAAGGGACTGTTAGAAGTGTCTGGATATGTTAAAAATGGATTTCAAGTGTGAGTCTTAAAACATATTTGGATTTCTATTGAGCATGCCATCAGTCGATTGTTCAATGAAACAAGGCGAATAAAACTCTGTGTGTGTGTTTCCAGGAAGTAAATAAGTACAAAGCTCATCTGACCTGTGTGGCATACATGTATTTAAGGAATGAGGAGCTATTATTTATTATTTCTTCAATAGGGACCAATTTATTCCTGGTTGCTGCTCATGAACTTGGCCACTCTCTTGGCCTTTTCCACTCGGCCAAGCCTGAAGCTTTGATGTACCCAGTCTACAAACCTTCCACAAACTTGGCCGGGTTCCAGCTTTCTCAAGATGATGTGGATGGAATTCAGTCCCTCTATGGTGAGTGACTGGGGAAACAGAGACCTTGTGGCTTTGTGGTGATACACATGAAGTATCTGTGATTAAACTCAAAGTACTTGAGATATTTGGGAAGCATAGAGTTGTCAGACTGATCATATTTCTCCTGATGAAGTCTCCCCTAATGTTTTCCTTGTAGGCTCTCCGCCAGCCTCCAGTGATGTCCCTGTGGTACCCTCCAAGCCTAGCTCTCCAAAACCTGGGGTGTCAGCCATGTGTGATCCTGATTTGTCCTTTGATGCAGTCAGCACTCTCAGGGGAGAAATCTTGTTCTTTAAAGACAGGTCAGACTGAAGAATTATTTGTTGCTACCTATTCTTTGCATGGAAAATGTTAGAAAGGAAAACAATCAGGAAATTGATAGGTATATTTAAACAAAAATAAAACGTCTCCTGGCTTGAAACTGTTAGAATCTGGAGGTGACCTTTCCAAGTTTTCTTAAAATCACCAAGTTCATTTTTGAAGACTGGATGATTTGATTCTTGTCATTGAATTATTGTTCCCAAATGTTCTAAATCACGATTGCTTTCCAAGGCACAGGTAGATCTTTAGAGTCTGAATTTTATCTTTACTTCCTTTCAAAATGATACCATCATTAAGCGTCACATTTTATCGGTTAACTCACTTACTTCTAGATAACTACGTCTGTGATTTTTTTTTAAAGGAGTTAAGTGGGTAATGAATCCTAGAACAACCTAAGGAATTTTTGGCAGTTGATGACGGCTAAGAGGTAGAAAGACAGTGTCTTACAGCATGGGACTCTTTGTGGGCCCAGTGGAATATTAAGGGGAATTTGGGGGCACAAATCAGGCTCTATAGGTCATATTATGTGTATAAGACAGCATATAAAACTGGGCAGGGGTGAGGGGAAGGTGCAGATAGGGGAAGAATTCTAAGTACCATCAAACTATATTGTATGAAAAAGTCACAAAAATTCAATTAAAAAAAAGAAGTAAAAAATGAAATAAATGAAAAGAAATGGAGTTAAAAGTTTTGGTTCCCAGATCTCTCTATACACATCAATAGTCAAGACAGAGAGAGAGAGAGACAGAGACAGAGAGACAGAGAGAGACAGAGAGAGAGAGACAGAGAGAGACAGAGAGAGTTGTATGACCCAGGCTGGCCCAGAACTTGTAATCTTCTTACCTCTTTCCAAATAAGCGTGTGCCACCACACTTGGCTTCAAAACTGTGTATCATCTAGTATTTTTCTGTGAATGGACAAGAATATATGGATACAGAACATACATATACTGTGCATTTTTTAAAAGTCTGAAGGATACTTTAGCTATATACTTTTTGCATATGTTATAGGTAATTAAAACTTATACTGAGCTAATAAATAAACTAGCATGGTGGGTAACTTTGCTTTTATAGACCTTACTCTAGAAACCTATGACAGGTCTGTTGCAGTCCTAGAAAAAAAGAGAGGAGGAAGAGGAGGAGAGAAAGAAAAGTGGATGAATGAATGAATAAGTCAATCTATTTTCCTAGTGGCAGTCTTCCTACTTTTCCCCATCATCCAGCCCAGACAATAAGGGAACGTGGGTGGGCAGTGGGTGAAGCAGGACTGAGAGGAAAATGCACGAAAGAAGAAAGTCTGTTTTCAATGGTCACTTCTTTTTACTCCTATTTCAGGCACTTTTGGCGCAAATCTCTCAGGACTCCTGAGCCTGGATTTTATTCGATCTCTTCATTTTGGCTGTCTGTTCCTTCAAGCATAGATGCTGCATATGAAGTCATTAGCAGAGACACTGTTTTCATTTTTAAAGGTAATTATTGCATAAGCATCACTTTAACTCTCCAACAAGAAGATTAAAAAGGATTAAATTTTCTCTACTCTGTCAAATTTTGGATACTAAGATAGCCAAAGGTAATAAAGAATCACACAGAGCTGGTGTGTCACTTATATTTTACAGACTGGAAAATGAACTCAGGGAGATACATTGCTCAGAGTTGTAAATTACTTCATTTGGCCTTTGCTCCTTCCTCCAATTTGCAAATATGTGTTAGATGCCCACTATAAAGCTGACAACTAAATCTAAAATTCAGACTTGCTCTTTATGAAAACAAAAGATGATAAAATATATATCTAAACTAAAAAGAACCTTTAACATCACTGATTTTATTTGCAAACAGGAACTCAGTTTTGGGCCATCCGAGGGCATGAGGAGCAAGCCGGTTACCCAAAAAGCATCTACACGTTGGGGCTCCCTGTAACAGTCAGTAAAATTGATGCAGCCATTTCTGATAAGGAAAAGAAGAAAACATACTTCTTTGCAGAGGATAAATACTGGAGGTAAGATGCTGTAAGAATGATTTTTTTAAAGAGCCTATTAGGAAATTAGTTTCTCTCTATAAGAACAATCTTCCACTGCCTTAACCTCGCTTCTCTCTCAGGAGGAGGACAGGGACTTTGGATAAATGTGAGGAGGGCTTACTGTGAAACATCATCTTCCAGTGGACATTTCTTAAGTGCCCCTGTGTAGAGCCCCATGTGCAGTGACTCGTACTGCCATCTGTTTTGTCCCTACCTCCCTGGAGCCCTCATCTCTCCTCTATCTGCTCAAATCCTGCTCAGGCTTCAAGTCCTGGCTTAAGTCCTTCAGCCTTCATGACGTCGTCATTGCTGGACTTGAAGCCTGTTAGCCTTTTCTTTCTCAGAGGGAAGATACCTCAAGAAGCAGCTGCAATGTGCTGCTCCTTCTCTGTACCCCGAGCTCTCCTCATTGCCTCACTGCTTTTCTGTGTCTTTCCTTCAAGGAGGAAATCTGAGCTCATCTATTCCCTCTGCCTAAAGATGACAGGGATAGCATCCTATCTTATGGTTCCAACTCAGGACTCGTGGGCTGATTGATTCCTGGGCTGTCAGTTCAAATGCTGAGATCAGTGCTGAGCATCCAGCATGCAGCCCGTGTATAAAGAACACCCTTGTGTTTCCCTTCTCCACCAGTCCCTTTTCCTAATGCATTGCCATAGAAAACTTAAATGTAGAGTGTGGGGAAAACAAGTAGAGACAGGAACTGGAAATTGTATTTTTAAAAAAGATTTAGCTTTTATTTGTGTGTATCTGTGTGTATGTCTGTGCACGTGCGTGTGAGTGCCCACAGAGGCTAGAAGAAGGCATCTATAAGATTCCTTGAAGCTAAACTTGCAGGCTGTTGTCAGCTACCCAGTGTGGGTGCTAGAAAGGACTCTTAACCACTGGGCAATCTTTCCAGCCCTAGAAATTGTATTTCTGATCAGTGACTCAATTCACACATACATATGTGTACATTTATATGCATATATGAATGTATATTCCTACCTTCACGTGCTGTGTCAGGATAAAGATTCTTTTTTTCCATGTGTAAGAAATAGAGTAACAAACAGTATTACTATTGTGGGATGTTGTCCCTCTCCCCAGTGCAGCTGTGCTTTTAAGAGCCAAATTTCACCTTATTAAAGTCACACAGTGCTAAATATGCTTGGCATTTATGTGAACTTGCAAAGTTTACTAGAATTCCCCATAACTTATGAGTTTGTATAGCACTGCCTCTGTGCGCTTCTGAGCTAAACTTTTTTCAATTCTTGCAGATTTGATGAGAGGAAACGGACCATGGAACCAGAGTTTCCCAGGAAGATAGATGAAGACTTTCCAGGAGTGGGCTCAAAGGTGGACGCTGCCTTTGAAGCCTTTGGTAAGAGGACACTTGCTCTGTTGGCAATGCGGCCCTTTAAATGCTCTGTGGTATGAGAGGGAAGAAGAGAATGGAATGATATATTTTTGTATTTTTTATTGAATTTTTGTGTATTTCACATACAACTCCTTAATCATCTTATACCCCCTTCCCCATCGGCACCGTCTCATAGCCCCTCACTGGATTTCATGAATTTTGTCATTTATGTTAAGGCCTATCAAGTCAAGTTAGTATCCCCTGATGTTCCTCGTGCAAGTTCATCCACTGGGGTCTGAGACTTGAACAATTTTTAACAGTGGGTTTTTTTATTTTTAAATGTCAGTACTTCCCTCTATCTCCAAAATTTCAAATCACTTAAACTTTTGTGGCAATTACAGCACTAATCTAATGAGTTGTTCTGAATCACGGAGCTAACAGAAGCTTCTCTATTTGATGCACACATGGAAAACCAAAGTCCTAGGAAGTTATTTCTTCCCATCTAGAACTGTCTTTCTTGAGCTGTGTTAATGCAAAACCCCCATCAGTGATGGGGCTGCCTTGTCCTCCACCCCATCCTGTTTCCACTACTCAATAAATATCAAGGAGAGTTTCTCTGTCATTCCTGACTTAATGATTGACCTAAATACTTGTCTTTCCATGCACCCAAAGTTGAAAAACTATGTTTTTCCTATGCAGTGGAAAGGAATGAAATCTGGTGATCTTTATTGAAATGGAGTGCCATGTTCACACAGCAGGAGAAGGTGTTGTGATAAAATGACTGAGCTTCTCTGGAGCCAGAAATAGCCCTTGGACTACAATATGGCAAAGGGGAAGAGGCAGGTTAGGAAGAAAGAAAACAAGAAATAGTTTTCAAACAAGCAGGGGGATGTTTCCTATTTGGAAACACCCTAAAATGTCAGAACATGGCTTAGTAATAATGTGGAGTGCTGTCTCTTCCTCCCACTGAG